GGGAAGCCTGTGCATTTTCTTTACATACTACAAATTTCATTTTCAGGCTACTGGAAATTTTTCATTTCCTTTAGTAATCCAAGTAACCGTCTCTTGACTATGGTCATGGTATTTTTTATTTACCTCTATTTTAGTACTTACAGCTTATCCAAATTATTACTGGACCTGTGTCTTACTCATCTAGTGCTGCTCTAACAGAAATACCACAAGTGGATGGATTTAGCGAAGAGAAGTTTATTCTCTCACAGTCCAGTAGGCTACAAGTCCAAATTCAGGGTGTCAGCTCCAAGGGAACACTTTCTATGTCAGCTCTGGAGGAAGGTCCATGTCATCAATCTTCCCTTCGTCTGGGAGCTTCTCTGTGCAGGAAACTCAGGTCCAAAGGACGCATTCTACTCCTGGCACTGCTTTCTTGGTAGTGTGAGGTTCCCATGTATCTCTGCTTGCTTCTCTCTTTTATATCTCAAAAGAGATTGGATTGAGACACTATCTAATCTTGTAAACCTCATCAGCATAATCTCATCCCAGTGATTGAATTTACAACACATAAGGAGCTCACATATAACCTCATCATAGTGATAGAGTTTACAACACATAAGGAAATCACATCAGATTACACAATCATACAATACCAGAATCACGACCCAGTCAAGTCAAAAGACATTTTTAAGAGACACAATTCAATCCATGACAACCTGTTTTTCCTGCTAAAAAATGTGAAAATCCACAGGGCAGGCAGAGAAAGGAAGAAGAAAATGTATGTTTGCTTAGTTATCTACTATTTATACTATACTTCCCTCAAGGAGCCCCGGTGGTACAGCAGTTAAAGCGCTTGGCTGCTAACTGAAAGGTCAGCATTTTGAACCCACTCAGTGGCTCCATGGGAGAAAAGATCTTGCATTCTGCTCCTGTAAAAATTACAGCCTAGAAAACCCTATGAGGGAGTTCTACTCCGTCACGTTGGGTCACTAGGAGTCAAAAATTGACTCAGCAGCACCTAATAACATACTAACCTCCTTCATTCAACAAATACTCATTTTGCCCAAAGGCAAGCACAGACCTAGGCCGCAGGGTCACTGATGCCTTTCAGCTGCCTGGAGCTGAGACTAGCATAAAGAAGGCTGCAGTTGGTGCGATCAATGTGATGGAAAGAGAGTTACGGGGACCGTGGGGACACAGTGTAGAGGCATCTGATCCTGGCACGTGGAATCAAGAAAGACCTTACAGAGGACCCAATGTAAAGCTTAAAGAGGGTGTGCGGTAATGCAGCCAAAGAGGCATTTGGGGAGGCAGTGAGGAAAAGGTGTTCCAGGCAGAGGAATAACAGATAAAAAGGCCGGGGGGGCATGAGGCGGAGGGCGAGAGAGCAGGTGAGCTGGTCACCCATGTTAAGTGCTTTTCAAAGCCTCTTTAATCCTCTGGGAGATAAGCATTATCACCACCTTTTGCTTCAAAGTTTCGCTCCAATAATATTTAAAGTTTTACTCTCTAACTTATCGCCACCTAAGGAGTGAGGTGTTGGTCTTACCCAAAGCATTAATCAAGAAGGCTAAGATGGGAAAAGTGAAGGGCAAGCTAAAATAACTAGCAATTTAGACACTAATCAGAAAGAAGCTTAGACTTTGATATTCTAGCACTCATTCCCCAGGCATCGATAAAGCCGAGACATTTGTACAGTTGACAAGCAACCCTACAGTGATTTGTACTTCCTGCCATCATGGCAGCTAATTCACCTATATAACTTGTCAGCCTCCATTGATTTTGTCTTAACTCTGTCTCCTTTGTAAAACAAACCAGATATTTTATGTTAGATTTCACCTCCGTTTCTGGAAATCAGCTTATTTATTTATTTGTTCCACCATTTGCGAGGTGTGGGTTCTCTCCCTTCTCTAAGTCAATGGCCTGTTTTGTTGTCAGCCCCCTTGTCTGTCACAGGGATAGCAGGGCCCAGAGCTGTGGGCGTGCAGGGACGGATGCTCAGCCCCAGGCTGAGCAGAAGTGGGAGCACACAGGAAGGGACAACCCTGCATGATCAAAGAGGAAGCAGAGTGTGGAAGACAGCACGTAATGCCGTTTCCTAACTTGCTTCCTTGCTGAGAATATGCCTAAGAAACTCTTAAGCTCTCAGGCCGTTTGTAGATACACACATCTCAAGAAGAGCGTTAGAGAGTTGTTGTTGTTAGTTGCTGTCTAGCTGCTGCGGTACGACACACTGACGAATGGGTGGTGGCAAGAAACGAGTACCAAAAGCAAAACCAAACCCGTTGCTGTTGAGTTGATTCTGACCCATAGTGACTCTATAAGGCAGAGTAGAACTGCCCCATAGTGTTTCCATGGAGTGGCTGGTGGATTCGAACTGCTGACCTGTTGGTTAGCAGCCAAGCTCTTAACCACTGTACCACCAGGGCTCCAAGAAGAGAATAGGGGAAGGAAATTGACCCTTTCCCCTCTGTTGCATTGCACTTTCTTCTCTTCCATCCTACCCCATTCTAGTTCAAAGTCACTGATTTTTTTTCAGCTGCATAAACCTTTCTTCTCCATCTTTCCCTTTTTGATGAACTAGGAAACTTTGCTGGTTATAACTGTGGAGACTGCAGGTTTGGCTGGACCGGCTCCAACTGCGATCAGAAGAAACCACCAGTTGTTCGGAAAAATATTCATTCCTTGACTCCTCAGGAGAGGGAGCAGTTCTTGGGCGCCTTGGCCCTGGCTAAGAATACCACGCACCCCGACTACGTGATCACCACGCAGCACTGGCTGGGCCTGCTCGGGCCCAACGGAACCCAGCCACAAATTGCCAACTGCAGCATTTATGACTACTTTGTGTGGCTCCATTACTATTCTGTTAGAGATACATTATTAGGTGGGTTTGTTTTTCCTTGGCTTAAGCTATGTTATTTTAGGTTTGGGATTGTGGGAGGTGGGAAGTAATTTCAGGCAAGTTAATTAACAAGAGAGTAACCTCAAGGGAGGGTTAGGTTTAAGAAAGTCGTGAAATGCTCAAATGCTGCCTGAAGTTAGAATGCAGCAGTCTCTTCCTGTACGTTGGTTGCAGACACTTTAAAACGGTCTCTCCTCTAGTTTATGTTCTTGGCTCAGAGTCTAAACTGTTGTCTACGAAGCTATTAATCCCCAAAGGCAAGAGTTGGTGAAGTGAAGGTGAATGCATTTTGATTCCAGAAGAACACATTTCTAAATTTAGTCTGGAAGCCCTCTGTGAACTTTGCTTCACTTAGGGATTAACTGAGCATGTGCCAAAGCACATGAAACTTCTTTGTGCAGAATTAGATTGTTTGTGTTGGAAGTGTGTATCCAGTTGAACTCCATGTATTAGTCTGTAGACTTTCAGATAATCCTTTGTGGTACCCAGGAACTGCTGGGAATCCCCAGGAGTTTTGGATTTGTGTTGTCAAGGAATCCCTGGGTGGTGCAAATGATTAACACATTCAGCTGCCAACTGAAAGGTTGCAAGAAAGCCCTGGCGATCTCCTTCCAAAATATCAGCCATTGGAAATCCTATGGAGCACAGTTCTTCTCTGAAACACATGAGGTTGCCATGAGTCAGAACTGGCTTGATGGCAACTGGTTTTATTGTCAAGGAAAAGTACAAGTTGAGCCACTGCAATGTAGAGCTCCTCCTGCTTGGCGCTTTGGACCACAGTTACGTTTGACACTTGAGAAAATGGCACCCTGTGCTTCAGGATCCTAAAAATTGGGGCCCGAGTAGGACTTGGAACGGGTATTGTTGTCTGTTACAAGCTTCATTAACCAAGCAGGTCCAACTTTATCCTTAGTTATTTTTCAGTCTGGGGAAAACCGTAAACATCAGTTGGTTCCAGGCGGGTTTGAATCCATTCTAGAGTCTACCCAGAGCAGTTCTGAACTCTTGGCTGTACCTGCAACTGGCCTCACTTTTGGGCCCCCTCACTGGAGCTCGTTTTGAATAGCGAGGGTCTCATTTGGGATTGTCCATCCTTTTGTTTATCACCTGTTCCCCATCACTCAGTCCCCGCTCATCATTCTCTTCTAAGAATTTTAAACTTTGTTCTGGATTAAAACATAAAAAAAAAGCACTGTGTAACCAGCAGCAGCCACAGCGGTTCTTTTCTCAGTGTGAGTTTGTTTTAAAAACTTGCCTCACAGGTAAGCATCCGTCTTTCTTTATCAATGTATCAGAAAGCTCTGCTGGCTGTAAACCGCTATAGTTTTCCTGTCATCACTCCGAGGATGAGGAATTTTTGCTTTATGGGAGGGTAGTCTCTCAAGAGGAAAAGAAAACTATAGGTTCTGGTCGTATCTAGGAATTAAATTTACATTCATGTCTGTTCAGCTTTCTGAAGTTATTACGGGTACTTTGAAAAAGAACTGAAGTTAGCTAAAGTTTCTACATAACCATCAAAAGCTGTTAGGAAAGGAGGAAGAAGGATGGAACAGGCAGTAAGGAGGTCATTAAATAGCCCAAAGCTTTTCTCTAAAATTGGCAGTTCCAGTGGCCAGCCAAATTGGTTTGAATCTATTTTTCTCTCTTCTGGACTCGGCAACCATGCTTGTCAGCTAGCGGTTGTAACTGATCGACGGGTAAGGCAAACTCTGTGGAAGTTCTTTTCTGGAGATATAAATACTGCATCAGAAATAAGTGCAGTTGAAGTTACTGTATTATTCATTAACCCCTCTCTGATAAATCTGTGCATTTGTAAGGAGTAGATCAGAAAACATCTTCTAAAAATAAGCGTTTAGTTTAGCTTAGTGAGCTATTCTTCTGGATACTCTATTCTAAATGAATTGTTGCTTAAAAATTAAATACATAACAGGGGTGCTTGAAGCTGAAATTGACCCGAATTTCTCTGAATCTCTGCTGAAAATCAAACTTTTGCGATTCAAAGGAGAGTTTATACTAAGTATTACTTGCTTCTGAAAGTGTTCTGTTTGTCATTATTGTTGTTATTGTTGCTTTCTGGTAGATAAGTGACAATTTTTTTATTTTTTATTTTTTACTAAAACATCAGGGATTTATTGGCTCTATAGACACATCTCAGGTAAGGTTTCATCTTTTTAAAATCAGATTCTGTGACTTTAATACTTTCTCCAATTGTTTTAGGACCAGGGCGCCCGTACAAGGCCGCAGATTTCTCACACCGAGGACCTGCCTTTGTGACCTGGCACCGGTACCATTTGTTGTTGCTGGAAAGAGATCTCCAGGTCTGTCAGAACTATACTTTTGGTCCTTTAAATTTTGCTATAAATTGGGTTAAGCCATTTATGAGTCTTTCTTGTTGTATGTGATGGCATGAATTAAATGACTGGACATGCCCTTTGCCTTTAGCGACTGACTGGCAATGAGTCCCTTGCTTTGCCCTACTGGAACTTCGCCACTGGGAGAAATGAGTGTGACGTGTGTACAGATCAGCTCTTCGGGGCAGCCAGACAAGATGATCCAACTCTGATCAGTCAGAACTCAAGATTCTCCAGCTGGGAAATTGTCTGTGATAGGTAATATCGTATGTACCCGCAATGGGAATCCAGAGACCCTATTTTCTTTCTTCTTCTGTTTTAATGTGGTAAATATATGTAACAAAATATCTGACGTTTCAACAGTCTTTACAGGTACAGTTCGGGGACATTAATTATGTTCATCATGTTGCTCAACCATCACTATTATCTGTTCCTGAGTTATACCATCACCTTTAACAGAAGCTCAGTGTCCCTTAAGCATTGAGTTCTGCTTCCCCCTGCCCCCGCCGCCCCAGTAGTCACTAGTAAACTTTGCCTCCATACACTATTTAAAAAAAAAAACCCGAAAAAACAAAACAAAAAACCAAACTCATTACCATGGAGTCAATTCCAACTCATAGTGACCCTACAGGATAGAGTAGAACTGCCCCATAGGGTTTCCGAGGAGTGCCTGGTGGATTTGAACTGCCAACCTTTTGGTTAGCAGCCATAGCTCTTAACTACTATGCCACCAGGGTTTCCCTATACACTATACACATGCCTATTCTAGATATTTCATATAAGTGGGATCATACGGTATTTGTCCTTCTATGACAGACTTATTTCACTCGGCATTGTGTTTTCAAAGTCAGAGACCATATTTTTTTGGGTCTTAGTGAGTCAAATGGAGAAGGCACTTTATATTTCTGTTTCTAATGCATTCTATTTACATGTTTCTTTCATAAATGATTTTCCTATGGAAGGTGGGATTTAAAAAAATTCTAAGCCCTTCAACAAAAAAATAAAACAGATGTATCAAAATCACTTTTGTGAATTGAATATGCTTGGCCATCATTTTGAGGTCAAGTACTTTAAAATTAGGAGTAGTTCTTGCATACAACCAACATTTGTTAAGCACTTACCATATTCTAGGCAATGTAAAATGCACTTACCGTATTCTAGGCTGGGAATACAAGCATGAATAAGATATAGCTTCCCTTTTGAATATTGTTGTATATCTACAAAGATAGCTTCTGGTAATCAAATTACAGTACAATGGGAGAAGCACCATAAGAGACCTACGTGCAAAACCAAGACGAGAGTTGGGGAAAGTCCCAAAGAAGTGGAACCAACTATTCTCAGACTTGAGGGATGACCAGCCCTTAACCTGATGTGGGGGAGGTGGGAGAGTATGGGAGCGTAGTAAGTGTGTCCTACGTGGAGGGAACTGCATGCGAAGCTTGACAATTCTCTGGGAGCAGTCTGCCATGGCTGGACCATGGGGTGCTGGTGATAGAGGGAGGGAGGGATGTGGGGTGGGGTGTGGTGATCCTTGAAGTACTAAAAAAGATATAAGCAGGTAGACATCCTGCAACCCATGAAGAATTCTGTCCTCAAGGACTCCTTGATCTGTTTCTCTTTCCTGGCATACATTGCAGAAAAACAGTCCCCAAGAGGACCGTTTTGCCTTCCTTTTTTTCCTCCAAAATCCCCACGTTTTTAATCCCACTATTCTAGATGTGGAGCCCTGGTGCCGTAGTGGTTAAGAGCTACGGTGAGCTACTGTTGCTAAGCAAAAGGTCGGCAGTTCGAATCCACCAGCCGCTCCTTGGAAATCCTATGGGGCAGTTCTACTCGCTATGAGTAGGAATCAGCTCAATGGCAACGGGTTTTTCAAGTTATTCTAGATGTCCTCCCAGGGTCTTTCAACTGATTGGAGACACAGAGCTCCAGCCCGCCTTCTAGACTTCAATGTCAACATCACCTGAACCTGGGCATGTGTGCGTTTTGATGCGTCTAGACCTGGTTGTGCAGTGGTTAAGCGCTCGGCTGCTAACTGAAAAGGTCAGTGGTTCTAACCCACGAGCCTCTCCACGGGAGAAAGATGTGGCAATCTGCTTCCGTAAAGATTTACAGCCTTGGAAACCCTATGGGGCAGTTCTGGTCTGTCCGGTAGGGTCACTAGGGGTTGGTATCAACTTGATGGCGATGGGTAACAAGTAGGGCCCAGCTAGCAGGGACCCCATCTCCTATATCCAAAGCGTTTCCAGTATCTCTCAGGACAATGTTCCATGGCAAACCAAAAACCAAAGCAAACCCATTGCCATCAAGTCAATTCCGATTCATGGCAACCTCATATGTTACAGAGTAGAACTGAACACCATAGGGTTTTCTTGGCTGTAATCTTTACAGAAGGAGATTTCTGGGCCTTTCTTCTGCAGCGCCTCTGGGTGGGTTTGAACTGCCCACCTTTTGGTTAGCAGCGGAGTACAAACTATTTGTGCCACCCAGGGACTTTCCACAACCAAGAGTGCATAATAAATGCTTATTACATGATTTAACTTAGTTCCATAAAGTGCTATTTCCCATAGTATCTTAGCATACTAATAGGTAGTATATGAGAAGAGATTTCTGTGATCAAATAAATTTAGGGGATGCTGAGTTGAAAAGAGTTTTTGTTTTAGAACTTCTCAGAGCCTTCCATATGTAAATATTTTGTGACTCTCCAAAAGAGGCCTGAGCTTAATGACCTTGGGACCCTTATTTCACAGATCATGTCACTGGGACACACTTTAGGGGATGCTGCTCTATTTTTTGACTTAGGTTTTAGGTCCTGGCCTCTTTCATCCTTGTGTGTGTAATGATTTTGTCCTTATGTACAGAGTACTACCCCCACCCATTAAAACCCATGCAGTAACAGCTTTACAATTTTATCTCTACCAATAAAGTAATGCTCTGATGATGGAATTTCAGGTCCCAACAGGTGTGTGGGAGATAATCTTTTATGGGCTTGGAAGTTTTTCGCCTCCATATTTATCACATAACTAACTATCAATCCCTTCCTCCCTTGGAACATTTTCTAATACGGTGTTTCTTCTAATACCTCTCATGTATATAGTTTCATTTGTTTGTACTCTCACCTCCTCTATTTGCCTTTGTTGCTGTTGTTAGGGGCTGTCAAGTTGGTTCCAATCATAGTGACCCCATGTACAACAGAAGGAAACCCTGCCCGGTCCTGTGCCATGTTCACAATCGTTGTTATGTTTGAGCCCTTTGTTGCAGCCACTGTGTCAATCCATCTCGTTGAAGGTCTTCTTCTTTTTCATTGACCCTCTACGTTACCAAGCATGATGTTCTTCTCCAGGAACTGGTCTTTAGTTTGCCTAAAATGTTTTCCTAGCTTTTTACAACCACCTCTGCTCAAAATGGCTTAGCTCAGCATAATACAGGTTACCCTTTCTCTCTTTAAGTACTCAAGGTTTAAATGCACTTGACTAGAGTCACCATCTTGCCTTGTAAGCCCTTCCACTGTCTTTCAATGGAACATTGATTATTCTTCATGTTTATGCCTGTATTCATATTTTATCCATCTATGTTTTTGAAACTCCTTAATCTACAACTACTTTTGGGATGGCAATTTTACCACTTTTTTTTTTGAGCATGATAAAATTTTACTGTAACTATCACCATGACTGGTTTACTTGGTCCAAAGTTATGGTACTATTCATGAATTAAGACATATTATTTTTAATCTTACAAATCTTAGCTTGGATGACTACAACCGCCGGGTCACCCTGTGTAATGGAACTTACGAAGGTTTGTTGAGAAGAAATCAAGTGGGAAGAAACAATGAGAAACTGCCAACCTTAGAAGACATACAAGATTGTCTGTCCCTCAATAAGTTTGACAATCCTCCTTTCTTCCAGAATTCTAGCTTCAGCTTCAGGTGAGTGATCTGAGCTCTGCTATGCTGGCAATGTACAATACCTTTAGATTTTCATGCTTGTGGTTGCA